TATATTATAATTTAATATTTAATTAATCTATTTGTCACCTGATTTTTGAAATAATTAAACAAATTTGTTAGTTTTGAAATGTGAACTTTAAAAATAGGAACTATGTATTGTTCCCTAGCCTAAATCCGCCAGTGAAAAGAACAATATTATTCAAAATTCTGAGAGATTCACAGTCCTAGCATATGAAGATATATACAATATATAGAAAACAATTATTCAGAGCTGTCACGGTTAATCAGTAGCATAGCAACCCTTTCAGGCATTATATAAACACAACGTTTTAGCAACGCCCATCCAGAAACTTAAGACACTGGTATGACAATTGGTCAACTGACAAATAGAAATGATCTTTAGTTATCACGCAAGATTTCCTCCATTTTCAGTAATATCTTCATTAGCAATTTAATATCCATCCTTGAAATTTTTCTGAAATTGAAACATAATCACTAACCATTCTTGTTAATTTGTGTCAGCAGTAGCTTGTCAGTGAAATTCAACAGTTCTGAAACTTCAATTTCAAGCACATATTTCATGGGACTCACAACATTTATCAACTTTTTAATCACACATTTCACACTTTGATCAAAAAATCTGCTAAAACCTTTGTCAAAAGTTTCGTCAAATAACCCCTTAGTTTTCATCGAAGTCCAAATGATATATTTTTGTTACTAAAATGACAATATTGAACTACAAAGACGATGAAGGACTTCCCATACGACTAGTCATCAGCCTAAAAATGATCTAGGCAAAAGATAGAATTGTCAGGCATAATAGTAGATCCTACAAGGTGTAAACAGCTAAAACCAAAATTCAACAAGCAGATATCCTCACGCTGTCTCCAGAGTTCTCAGCTCACTTCCTCCCCTTCTGCAGAAAACTAGGTTAAGTATTGACTGACCAACAAGAATATTGATCAAACGATTCAAACCTGTTCAAAATTTTTTGTTTTACATATCTAAAATCAGGTTGGCCGGATATCACATAGTGACACTTTGCAATTCAAAGCTGGGATGCTCCCATTTCCTGAAGGAAAAAAAAAAAGGAATTAAGACCTTTGCGGCATAAACCTCCCAAAAAATGAAGGAAAGAAAGAAAAGAAAATTTCCCAGAAAAGTTATCAAAACCTTTATCAGTTGGTCCAGAAGAACATTAAGACAGTTCGATCCTTTTTCCTTTTAGACAAATCTGGCTGATTTACCTGCTAGTATGAGTTTGGAACAGTAAACAGACATACATAGAAAAATTCAATTTTGTGTCCTCTATTGTTAGAGAGTTCACCGAGTGAATCAATTATAAATTTGCACATGAACACTTCTGAAGTTGACATTCACCGTTTTCAAAGGAACAAAAACAGCATAGCCGAAATTAAAAGGGCGAAGGTTTTAAAAAAAAAAAAAATTATTTCTGAACACATCAAGCACATCTCATGAAATTTTCACCATAATCAAAAAAATTATGAAGTTAAAGAAGAGTGAGCGAGGAAGCATAGTCAAACCTACTTTTCAATGAATATTTGTATCTCATAAATAAACATTCATGTATAAGCAACTGCTTATGCAAAATAAGGGGGTATCAAATAAAGGTTCATGATGATTTTGAATCATATATTAAATTGAACATATTCTTTATACTTGATATATCTTCTATCATCCACGAAACAATTACCACATTCTAATTAATTAGTTATTATTAATATTTCTTCTGTCTTAAAGAAACTGATATAACACTCTACAAGAACTATACAGTAATTACCATTTATGTTTAGACATAGAAACAAGATTTGATAGTAAGCTTTTATTCTCTATCAATGGTCTATTGGTGTCATAGGTTATAACCAATTTGTTTTTGTACTCCTAATCACAAGGTTTATTGGAGCACAGAAAGATGCATTATCATCTTACTGTCTATTGCACCTAAAATAGCATGAATCTTTGAAGAAACAAAGAACAATAATCATCTAAGAAAGACTCAATGTTCGATTACAAATCACGACTAGCAAAATCACAAGAGTATAATGAAACTTAGGTATGTCTTTTCGCTCTACACCTGTTAAGTTAGATGAACCCTCCATTGCAACTACATAGCCTTGATTAAAAGTTAAAAAGTTTCAAGCATAAACAGCACAGCTGATAATTCTAACATAAAATCACATTATGCTTCTGTATGAAAATTATCCACTGCTATGATAAAGGTGCCATCAGGACTATCTACTTTGCAACATGGCAATTTTGCTTGCCAGAGCAAAACGACATAAGCACCTTTACTTATGCAATCCTCCTGTAAAGGTGCTATTACAAAGACAAGGTCAGAATATCACATATTTGAATGTATAGATGATTAATGGAGGTTAAAGAACTTCCATAAGTTTAGTAAGTTCATAACGCACCTTGCGAGCAGAATTGTTAGCTCTAACACCAAATTGATGTGGAAGTCACACAGAAAGAGAAGTAGCCCTGTCTTGCCCCATTATCCCAAAAATTTATTCTTCTCTCTTTTATTTTCAATCAAACAATTTTCCATAAAATAATATTACGCGTAAACTGACAACTTTTTCTTCTTTTTCAACCAGAAATTCTCCAAAAAAACACTATTCCAAAAATTATAATTTCAAATAATGGGGCCAAGCGGAGGCTTAGAGGTAAGAAACGGGAAGAAGGAGGAAAAGAATCAGAGTAATAAGCAGAAAACTAGATAGAACAAGAATTTGGGAAGGAAAGTGTATAATTCAATAACATTAATCAATAAGTCTAAATACAAACGAAACCCTAGGTTCCCTTGTTAGGGTAAAGAACTTAAATCTAAATGGATTTCTAATATATCAAAAGATTCTAATGAATCAAACTATTGAACTAGTCTGACTTAACAATCTTTTCATATAATAGACTTCTAATCGTTTCTTTCACCTTGTCTACCAAATTTGCATTGAGCCCCATGTACAATTTTTTTCTTTTTCCAAAATGATGGGACATATGTTGAAGAATTGTTATATCAACAATATTTATTCTAGCAAGAAATAGAAAAGGTGGCACTAAATATTTGAGGAATCTTGTTACATGGGTAAACTTATACTCCATCTTGTGAAAACATGCAATAGCAAGAGAGGTTGTGCTGTAAACAAATGATTTCATTGTTTATCTGTAAAGTTCAGGCTCTTATAAATGATAACCAAAACCAATATGTCTAACACTAGATAAAAGCTATAGAAGTAAGTGGACCATAATCCTTCAGAGGCGTTCAAACAGACAAAAAGTGAACTATACATGGCTCATTGATATTACTATATGACGTACACTAAACCATTTCTATTCTACGTATAAGTGCAAGCTGCTATGCACCTCGCATAGTTAGTATTTCAATAGCTAAGTATGTGACTATGGATCTGTGTTCTACTTCATTTAAAGAACTAGACTGACCCTCACATTGCTAATCCCCTGGACCTATCCCACCTTCTGCTTATGTTTTGCTGCATCTTTCTTTGCCAATTGGTCTTGTTCAATCTGCAAACCACGACACTCAACAGAGCAGAAAGCACAAAAGTCACTGCATTGAACAGAATGAACACAAGTATAAGCATTCTAAAAGCATTGAAATACATGACAAAGAACATCTCACGGGCAAATGTAGAATTATACAACAACAAAGTTAAACGAAACCAAGAGCTATTATATATTTTACACTATACTATAAATAATAGTTATATTTTTTTTGATAAGTAAATAATAGTTATATTTGTAATTCATGCAATACTAAAAAGTCTAGTACAGTATATAAAGATACAAACTAACATGCATACAGACTTTTAATGCAATATTCAATCATGCAAGAAAACATTCATATTGATTGAATCAATAAATTAATTAAAGTTTAACTTACAGTTAACCCAAGAGTAATCAGAAAATTATCCAAGCCGATTGAATCATAATCTTTCCTTAAGACAATATTGTTCCTCTAGTGATGAAGGTCTTCAAGAAATTGCCTCTCAGGTATAAAATGAACTTCATTCCAAAAGGACTAAACATTTTTGTCACATAGGAACCGGCAAATAAAACTTCTTATTTGTAGATTGAACAAAATGACAGATTCGACAGGATTTTAGGATCAGATTCTAGGAAGAAGTATTCTGAAAAAATTTGATGATCCAAAATGCAAAAGAAATGGCCCTATATATAGTTTTTGAACATGGTAATTCATCCAACAGCCATGGCCTTTTCGTAGGTTTGTGTTTTATGAAAAGATGGGAATTACGTAATTAAAAGGCGTAACACCTAAAATGCTACAACAATTTAGAAAGGATACAACTTTTTAGGAAAAGATGCAAAAAGCCACAACCATTGTCGAAAATCATTTCAATTAAAGACATAATTTTTAATTTAAGACACAGGACAGAACCAATGGACTTTTCATATTAAATTTGATTTCAAAAGTCAATTCAATAATTTTATTTTCTTCCTTCTTCATTTTTTGTTTCTTCCTTTCTATCTCCTTTCTAACAAGAGACAAGGATGAAGACAATTTCTTCACTCACAGCATCCCTTTATTCATCATATAATGAAACTTAGCTATATAACTAAATATAGTTAATAAAAATTTCAGATTAACCTTATGATTGTTATGACGAATTTTTTACTTGGAATATAGAGCAATATGGAAACAACAGTTTTTGAACGAAAAAAAAGAAAGAAAGAAAAGCATGCTCGCCGTGAAGTAACGAAACAAGAATAGAAAAAGAATCATGTTAGATGATCAACAAGGTCAATGGGGGGTTAAAATAAATAACTGCAATGAGGTCTCCAATATTTAAAGGGAAAATATCGCATGCATCGTCACCAGCCGTGAATGGTTAGAGAAGCACTAAATTGAAGAATTACTTAAGAAAATCATATACCAAAAACAAATTTAGTATATCATACTCAAAAATAAAAACAAAACAGAACATGCTTGACAGTGATATCTAATAATTCAAGGCAAAATTTCATAAACACAATGAAAAAACTGAAGAAAAGTTCAAGAAAAAATGACGAGGAAAATAGTAAAATCACAACCAGATTAAATATTAAAAAATAAAATAAAATAGAAAAACATATATCAAAAGACGCTACCTGTACATGTACACCTCAGAGTCTTTAGCAATTTTCTTCCCACAATAGTAACATCGCTCCAAAAAAACCCCGATCTTCTGCTGATCATCGTGTCTAATACACTGGCCAGCAATAGGAGAAGCGACCGCCATAATCCTCGGCCTCACAATTTCCGGCTCTAACGCGTTTGCCACCGAACGCTCGGTGACCTTCGCCGGACTGATCGCAGAGGCAGAGGCGGTAGCGCTGGAGGTTGCAACCGGTGGCTTGACCTGGCCGGAAGAACTTCCAATTAGCTCTTGATTTACTCGCATTGTTGACGTGCAAGGGTTTTAGCAAAGATTTGAGAATGGCGGGAGCTTTCGCTACCAGTACCAGTGCGTGAACGATAAATCGAATTTATGTTTTCAAAGAGAGAGATGCTTAGCAGAATTGCGGTGGGTCCAATGTAGGAGAGCTTTTTCAACGAAATGGAAAAAGAAGGGTGAAATTTGGTTCTTAATTACTTCTCAAAATTTATTTACGCGTAAATTAAATGCATCATAACTGCCAGCTTGGAGTTGAAATTTTTTAGCAACAGCAATTCTCGGGAATTGTTTACCGACTTCGTACAAGAAGAGATGGACGCAGATATTTTAGGTTAGGGGTAGAATGAAATTATGTACAAATCGAATATTTTATTCTTGAATTTTGAATGATACATACTTGACTTGACATAGTGCAGATTTACATTTAAAAAATCATTTCTTCATTTATATTTTACTAATCATTTTCATCCATTTGAATTCGAAGTCATTTTATTAATGTTTTGTTCATCACAAGTAAATATGTATTTACGTTTAAAAATCTTATAATGTATTTGATACAAACAATCAATTCAAGTAATCGAAATGAAAAAAAAACCATATAATTAATATTTAATACTAATAATCAATCAAATAAACACAATTCTTTAAATATAAGTCAAATTGGATATAATGAGTTCAGACACATTTTATATACACAATCTGATAGGCGAAAATGAAAATTTAGATTCTAATTACTTGAAAATTTGATTGGAAAGTGAAGATTTGTAGTAAATGGGATAATTTGTAGAGAAATTATATACAAATTTTTAAAAATTAGAAATGTTAAGAATTTGTTAAAAGACGTGGGGAAAAGACTAGAAGAGAGCAAAAGAAAATAGAAAAATTCAAATTTATTATGATTTTGCCCCCTCTTGGTAGATATTAAAATCAAATTTTTAGTAAAGTTTGATAAAAGTTAAACAATTATGAATTCCATAAAATATATTATTAAAATTAATTGTTAACTTTGATTTAGATCAAAATTTAGATTTCAATCGATATCAAACATGACTTAAAAAAAATCTCAAAAGTTGGGGGGTCACGTGACCCCTCGGGTCCGCCCATGCATACAAGTGTTCGGTTGCTAGAATCTGTATGTAAACATATACGAAATTACGTCACGTGTCTTTTGTAAAAGAATTATGTGAAATATTCATGTACGTATAGCATTGTACATTTTTTTAGTCCTGAATTTAGCTTTAAAAGGTGAGCTGTGAAATTGTATTGTGCATTCAATTTTTAAGAATGTAGAAAAAATAAATAAAAATTATATCCACATGATACGAAAAGAACCTAAACAAATCTTGAAATATTTTGCAAATAAATTGTCGTGGGGTGCAGACTGCAGAGTTGTCTTTTTCTAGCATTTTGCACAATTTTTCTATAATATTGAATATATTTCAATCGTTTCTTAGAATAAATACCAATTACATATCATAGCGTCAGCAATCAAGCTATCATATAAGAAAAAAATTATTTGTACAAAAAGAATTTGACAAAAAGGTTGACAAACCCTCACATGATTGTCAGTCCCACGTGAATAAAAAATTGAAAATAAAAAAGTGGGCCCCCCACATTGTGAGGGGCCGATCAGGGTGTTTGTCACCCTGACCGGTACAAGTAGCCTCTCTCATCGTATAAGGCGTATCAATGAGTTTTTTTCAATTTTTTTTATTAAAGAATTCTAACAACAATATTTATTCGTAATACAATTAAAAATCCTAAATAATTTTTTTTTGGAGACTTGTGTGGATTTTCCAAAAATAACGAGATATTTGTTAACAGAAAAATGCTAAAGATTGGTTTGAAATCTATTTACTATATGATCATATATTCGATGATTCATGTACTCGGCACCATTGAACCTATCTCCTTACTACTTTTGAGAGTTGTTTAAACATTCATTTTAAAAATTTATAGACTACATATCATTCGCATATAATTTATGATTTCAAATCATTTATGGTTATGTTTTTAAAATAAGTCTTACAGAATTCCTGGAAAATCGATATTATCTTTAATATTCCTCTTGCAATTAAATTTTTTGCATTATTCTCTAAAGGGGAATTTACAAAAATGGCCAATTTCATGCTTGTCAATTGATATATGTCTACTTTTCATAACACTTGAAAAAATGGCCAAATTTGGTACCAAATTGTCTATTATATCCACGATGAAATTGTCACGAATTTCGAAAAGAAGAAATAGCTCCTATGAGAAGTTACATTAATGCTAGCTAATACCTAATGAATTCATTTAGTCTGTGTTTGATACACAACATTTTCCATGGATTTTCCATTTTCCAAGTTTTGTAGTGTTTGATGGCAATAATTTTCTTGGCATTCCATTTTCCACCCAGGCTGCTCACACGCTTGTTTTCTTGGCAATGGTTGAATTGTTTTTCTCACATTTTTTGTGGGAAATGGAAGTATCAGCTTTTTTTTTCCTGACAATGATAACAAATTTCATAACCAATTGTAAAAAAAGAAAATTTTTTTAATGGACAATTTCCATTTAAAATAAAGTCAAACGAACACTAAATTTTAATGACAAAATAATTTCTAGGAATTTTTTTTTTTTTTTTAACTTTTTGGTAATGAAAAAAATTTTATAATTAATTGTGGAAAAAATTATCACTTTAATGGACAATTTCCATGTAAAACAAAGTCAAACGAACACAAAAAGATCCAAAATTTTAAAATTTTTCAGGTGGAAAATTATATCAATCAAACACGCTTAATTAACAATTTCCTGAAAAACAAGTTCTAATCAATTATTTGCTCTGAAATTCATTTTCTTTCCACTCATTTTCCACAATTACAATCCAATGGACCCTTACTTTTATTATCTATTAGGTATTGACCATGAATTTTGGGGGAAAAAAATGAAGTAGAAAAGTCATTAACACTAAAAAGTATGATTCCAATTCAAAAGAAAATCATATAATTTCATTTCGAAAAATTTAATCTCATCCAAATTTACAGTTGATTAGGCTTTCCACAATTCTCGATAGAATGTAGTTTTTCTTTGAAATCTTTTTTTTTTTTTATGTTGATAAGCTTTTTCTTTTATCATTTGATGATATTTAATTGTCACTTAGATTAGCGCTGAACATAGAGATGGCAAAAAAGATCGTCGACTGGGAGGCTCGGGCTCGGCCCGGAAAAAGTCCAAGCTTGGCTACCGAGCTTAGGCTCGGCTCGAGCCCGGCGAGCCTGCCATTAAAAAAAAAAAATTTAATTTTTTTTTTTAAAGGAGCTGCCTACAGCATCTTGCTGTCAGCAAGATGCTGCTGCTGCTGCTCCCTTTGCAGGCAGCTATTTTTAGCCGCCTTTGCAAGCAAAAAAAAAAGGCTGCCTATTGCACCTTTTAAAAAAAAAAAATCAAAAAACTCGAGCCAGCTCGGGTCGAAGGCTCGAGCCGAGCCTCATTTTTTTTTTACGGGCTTTGCTCGGCTCGGGCCCAAAAAAACTCGAGTCGAGCCCGTGCTTTTTTTTCGGCTCGAACTAGCTCGTTGACATAGCTAGCTGAACACTAGTGAGGTTGAATAGCATTTCTCACTCTAAAAAGACCTCTATGCAAGCGCCTCTCTCTCTCTCTCTCTCT